CCGGAAAGGGATGCCAATGTAGACAAAGCCAATATGTTCCTAAAGTGCCTCTCTCAACCAAGCTCTGTTGGAGCTTTCAGGCTGGACTTCCACTTCATTAAAGACCAATCCCTGATTCCAGTGCATTCAGAGGCCAAGCTCCTATTGACTCCCAATATTGTGGAGTCAAACTTGAACAAGAAAGCATACTCAGCTGTTCAGACATGGGCTGTAGCCTTGACAAGGGCCCTGCCTAATTCACAGACCATGAAATCTGGTCTGCCCCATGAAATCTGGCCTTTGGGGTGTTTTTGCCCTTTACTGTATGGGATTTCACAGGGGAAGACCAGCGTGTCTCAAATTAGGGGTCCTGACCCAAAATGGAGTTGCAGGGGGTCACAAGGTTATTGGGGGGGGGGGGGGGGTGTTCCACCTTGGGAGTTGAGCAGCCAGAATGCAGAGGGTGTTGGCTGAGTGCCCAGCTCAGAAAGCAGCGCCCTGCCAGCAGCGGTGCAGAAGCAAGCATGGCAATACCATGCCATGCCACACTTACTTCTGTGCTGCTGCCTGCAAAGCTGAGTGGCCAAAGTGTGGTGGCTGCTGATGGAAGGCAGTACCATGGAAGGTAAGGCTGGCAGCACTATACCAAGCCATCCTTACCTCTGCACTGTGCTAGTGGTGGCTCTGTCTTCAAAGCTAGGCTCCTGTCCAGCAGCTGCTGCTCTCCAGCTGTTCACCATTATTGTAGGATTATTGTAGGGAGGATTGCCATAGGCTGTTTCTCTTATTACTTCTCAGCTCTGAAGGCAATGGCAGCTAATGTTCCCTCTAATCTTTTCCATCCAAGTGTGAATTTTTTCCATCCACGTGTGGAATAATTTTTTATGTGCACCAAGGCATGTGCACCATCAGTATAAACAAAACCTGGCTGTGGGCACTCTGTTAATCAACTGGGCAGCATTGAATCTCTCACAAGATGCCGTATACATGCCCAGTTTACAGGGGATATGGACCAAAATCCTTCCTTCAATAACGTGCAACCTCCCTTACAACTCCTGTTTGGGCAGGACCCCTACAATTACAGCCCTGTGACATTTCAGTCACATCGGTGAAATAATGAAAAGTATGATTTTAAAAATCGTGTGACTGTGAAATTCACCAAAATGGACCATGGATTTAATATAGCTCTTGGCACAAGCGAAGGGGGCACA